AGTATAGGTATTTCTTTTAAAAAAATACATTTTTATTGATTTCAGAGAGGAAAGGAGATGGAGAGAGAGATAAAAACATCAATGATGAGAAAGAACCACGGATGGGCTGCCTCCTGCACGCCCCCCCACTGAGGATCAAGCCCTCAACCCAGGCATGTGCCCTAGGCCGGAATTGAACCTGGGCTCCTTCAGTCTGAAGGCCAACACTCTATCCACTGAGCCAAACCAGCTAGGGCAGTATAGGTATTTCTTTAATTTTTGCCACATGAGTATATTTAAGTTTCAATATGTTTTTATATATAAGTTTAGTTCATATGATTATTTTAAGATAGATTCTTATTTCTTATAAAGGGTTTTATGGTTTATACATGCCTCTTAATCTTTGTGCGAATGATCCCAAAGCACTTAGTTGCTGTTGGAGCCTCCTGAGTTGCAATTTGAAAGTCTTAAAAATAAAGCCCGAATTAAAACATGTCTACTAACTCAGTGTTAATTGTCCCCAGTAAAAATAAAAATATCACCCCAAATCATTACTTAAAATCAAATTTCAGAGTAGGCTTCCTTTCCAATCCAAACATAGTTAAGGGTTTTTCTCATAATGCAGCCAAAAAACTCCCTTTTTTTTTGGAGGGGGGCAGGGAAGGGTATATTGGCCAGTCCAGAATATTTTACTTAAAAATTTCAATCCTGGTTTAGGTGAGAATACATTATATTAAGACCTACAGTAATAATCATAATAGTCATAAATTGTGTGCAGTATGAAACCTTGTAAGTGTGGATAGTGTTAAGCATAAACCTGCTCTAAAAATTTAATCAGAATAATCTCTGACCTTTATTTCCTATATGAATTGCTAGTAGCCACAGTAATTGCACAGAACTATAAAACATAATGGGAAGTGGAGGTGAAGTTTTTAATGTGTCTTTGAACTAGCATATTTTTCACACAGAAGATACTTGCATGGCCAGAAATGTAGACTTAGATCAAGCCTCTAAAGTTTCACATTAAATTACAAAAGTTGTGTGAATATTCTGTTTTTTTAATTAAGTATTTCTCATACCAGATCTACTTCATTTAAGGTAAGTAAAATAATTATAACAGTAGTTGGCTTTCTTGCTATCCTAATTTTTTGCTTTAACCCTAAAACATTTAGGAAACTCAAAAGAAGGAAAGTCTACTGTAATTACCCACATTTTTGTTTATTGTGCTCTTTCTTCCTTAATGATATCCCAAGGTTCTTTCTTTTATTGTTCCTTTTCCTTTTAGAGAACTACTTTTAGTCATTCTTTTGGGGTAGGACTGCTAGTAACAATTCTCTTAGTTTTTCTTTATTAAAAAATGTTTTGATTTCCTTTTTATTCCTTAACAATATTTTGGTTGAATACAGGTTTCTAGGTTGAGTGTTCTTTTTTTTTTTTTTAGCAGTTGAAAAATATTATGCAACTGCCTTCTGGTCTTTGTTTTCTATTAAGAAATCCATTTTAGTTCCAATTGTTTTTCCCTTATAAAGTAGGGCCTTGTCTCTTGCTGCTTTCAAGATGTTTTCTTTGGCTTTTAGAAGTTTCACTCTCATATAACTTGGTGTGCATTTCTTTGGATGTATCCTATTTGGAGTTTGCTCAAGCTTCTTGAATCTGTAGGCTATGACTTTTCCCTAATATTAAGGAAGTTTTCAGGTGCTATTTCTTTAATAACTTTCAACCCCTGCTCCCTTTCTTTTCTCTTTCTAAGACTTCTATGATAGGATTGTTATGTTTTATTTATTTATTTACTTACTTACTTACTTACTTACTTATCCTCACTTGAGAACATGTTTTTATTGATTTTAGAGAGAGAAGAAATGAGGGGGGAGAGAGAGAGAGAGAGAGAGAGAGAGAGAGAGAAGAGAGAGAGAGACATCAATGTGATAAACATCAATCGTTGCCTGCTGTGCTCACCCTGGGGATCAAACTGGCAACCTAGGTATATGCCCTGACCCAGAATCAAACCCACAACCTTTTGGTGCACGGATGATGCTTCAATCAATTGAGCCACTAGGACAGGGCAGGACTGTTATTTTTTTTTTTTTCTTATAGTTCCACAGTTCCCCAAGGCTCTGTTCATTTTTTTTGTTTTGTTTCAGTCCACTTGTTTTTTTTATTGTGGAAAAATAACACAAACTTTAACATTTAAACTCCTTTTAAATGTACAGTTCAGTGTCATTGTGTCCACATTATTGTACAACCATTACTATTTTTCCACCATCCCAAATTGAAACTCTCCACTCATTAAATAATAACTCCTTATTCCTCCCTCTTCCCACCTCCTGGTAACCATTATTCTACTTTCCCGATAAATTTGACTATTCTAGGTACTTAATGTAAATAAAATCCTATAATAATTGTTTTTGCATCTGACATTTCATTTAGCATGTTTTTAAAATTCATTTGTGTTGTAGCATGTATCAGACTTTCATTTCTTCTTAAGGCTGAATAATATTCAATTTCATGTATATGCCACATTTTGTTTATTAATTTATCTGTTGAATAGTTTTCAACTTTTGGCCATTTTGAGTAATGCTGCTATGAATACTGGTGTACAAATATTTGTTTACATCCCTGCTTTCAATACTTTTGGCTATATACCTAGACGTGGAATTGCTGGGCCATTTGGTAATTCTTTTTTTTTAAAAAAATATATTTCTTTATTGATTTCAGAGAGGAAGGGAGAGGGAGAAATAGAAACATCGATGATGAGAATCATTGATTGGCTGCCTCCTGCACGCCCCCTACGGATCGAGCCTGCCACCCAGGTATGTGCCCTTGGCCAGAATTGAACCTGGGACCCTTCAGTCCACAGGCTGACGCTCTATCCACTGAGCCAAGCTGGCTAGGGCGCATTTGGTAATTCTATGTTTAATTTTTTTAAGAACTGCCATACTCTTTCTCATAGTGGCTGTACCATTTTATATTCTGTGCATCTGTGTACAGATTGGGTAATTTCTATGTTGCATCTCCAGTCACTGATTTTTTTCCCTCTGTCCTTTCCATTCTGCTGTTAAGCCCATCGAGTTTTTATTTTTATTTTTAGTTATTGTATTTTTTAAGTTCTAAATTTCCATTTGGTTCCTATTTATATCTTTTATATCTTGACTGAGACTTTCAATTTCTTTGCTGAAACATTTTTTTAAAAATATATTTTATTGATTTTTTTTACAGAGAGGAAGGGAGAGGGATAGAGAGTTAGAAACATCGATCAGCTGCCTCCCGCACACCCCCTACTTGGGATATGCCTGCAACCAAGTTACATGCCCTTGACCAGAATCGAACCCGGGACCCTTGAGTCCGCAGGCCGAAGCTCTATCCACTGAGCCAAACCGGTTAAGGCTTTGCTGAAACATTTTAAGTGTGCTTATAATTGGTAGTTGAGACATTGTATGATAGCTGCTTCAAAATCTTTTCAGATAATCCTAACATCTCTGTCATGTCAGTGTTGGCATCTATTGATTGCCTTTCTTCATTCAGTTTGAAATCTTTCTGGTTCTTGATGAGATGATGACTTTTCAATTGAAGCATCGATTTTTGCATATTTTGTTATGGAACTTTGGATCTCAAGGCCTCCTGTTTTAGTTGGCTTTCTCTGACATAGCTCTGGCAATGAAAGGAGGGAGTCCTTCCTTTTACTGCCCCATGTGGGTACAAATAGAAGTTCCATGTTCAGCCTTCACTGACTCTCTCAGGAGTGGGAACAGTTCTTTGTCACTGGTGGGTGATGGAAGTTCCAGCTCCAACTAGGCTTCCAGTGATACCTCCTGGATGAAAGGGGTAGGACTGCCCTATTACTGCTTTCCAGAATTCCTTCATGGGGTTGATGGTCTCCTTACTGTTGTGGGGGATGGAGTGGCTGCCTCATTATTGTCTGATAAGGGTTAAAGGTCAAATTCTCCACATAATCGCCACTGACAGTGTGCAGTTATTGGAGGCATTTTGTGTTTTGTTTTGTTTTGTTTGTACCTGTTGGTGTTTCCAGGTCACTGGACTTCAGCTCCAAGCATGGAACATATGTGGCAATCACACCTCTCTCGTTCTTTGGGTCCCAATGTCCCTAGCCAGTCTTCCTTCTTCTTCCCACCTTGCAAAGTCTTCTAATTTTTCTTCTACCTATAATGCCCAGGGGTTTAGGTGCGCTTATTAGGAGAAGTAGGGAAAAATATTTTTACATCTTCTCAGAAGAAGTCTGAATTTTGAATACATTTTAAGATGGAGCCTAGAGGAGTAACTGATGAATTAAGGGGTGGAGTGAGAGGGAAACAGAGGAGTCAAGGGTTTTGGTCTTATTAACTAGAAGAACAGAGCTGTCATCAAATGAGATGGGGAAGACTATGTGAAGAACAATTTTTTTTTTTTTGCGGGGGAGGGGAGTTGGAGTTCAATTTTGCAAAGGTTAAGTTGGAGGTACCTGTTGGACATTTAAGTGGAGATGTTGAATAGGCAGATAGATAGACATGCTGGTGTGGAGTTCAGTGGAGAGGTCTGGGAAAATATAAATTTTGGATTCATCAGTATATGCATAAAGTTTAGAGGTTTGAGAGTGGATGAGATCACCATGACAGGGAGTAGAGATAAGGGAACAAAGATGTAGAAGAATGGAACTCTGGTGCAGTTCCTTCAATATTAAAGAGTTGGGGAAGGGTAGAGAAATCATCAATGGTGACAGAAGAAAGGAGTAGCCAGTGAGATAGGAAGCAAACCAGAAATCCAAATGAAGGAAGTAATATTGCTTCTATATTGACTTCCTATTTCAAATTCTACTTCATGTGTCTCTCCCTTCTTCTCTCTGTACAGATGCTCCTAGATTTATGAGGTTAGGTCCCTATAAACCCATTATAAGTTGAAAATATCTAAGCTGAAAATACATTTAATACACCTAAACTAATATCATAGCTTATCCTAGCCTACCATAAATATGCTCAAAACACAATATGCATAAGACGGTGGCAACACAGTATACTGATGATTACTTACCATCTAGATCTCAATTTGACTTGGGAGCTGTCAATATCATACCGCATATTGCTAGCCTGAAAAAAGATCAAAATTCAAAATTTTAAGTATTAATTGCTTTAATTAATTAATTTGAAGTATGGTTTTTACTAAATGTGGATCACTTTTGCACCGTTATAAAGTAAAAGATATTTTAAGTCAAACCATTGTAAATTGGGGGTGTCTGTATATCTCTTGGCTATGGGCTGTTTCATGCACAGGGGGCCACATGCATTGTTTTGGGTCAGGTTGAAAGAACCCATGTAGTGTGATTAGCACACATGTCTGGAAAATCTTAGTGGGATATTTCCAAGGCTAAAATATTACAAAGGAATTTAAAACTTTACTTACCAGTTTTATTGTGACTAGTAATATTGGTATTGTAATTTTGAAATGAAACCATATATATGGTAGGATAAAGCAATTAGTAAATGTATTATTATTTTTAAGTAACCTGGATGCTTTCTGGTGCTCATCATTCCAGCTAGCCAATGACAGGCACAAATTTCTAGATCTGGTTCTTCCATGAGGGATTTTCTTCTTCTCTTTTCTTTTTGATTATTTTTCTCTTACTGATTTCTAGTGTAATTCTACTACAATCAACCTTCAATAGTTCTAAACTTGTGGAGACTTTCTCTGTGGCCCAGGTTGTGGTCTGCTTTGATAAATATTTCATGTGTACTTGAAAATAATGGATACAACTTTTTATGTTGTATCATTAGGAATTTTTCAGGTGTAACTGTTTCTGTTCACAGATTGTAATATGAAACCAGACCCTCACAACAAAAATCTCAGGACAGGAAATACCCTTCATTGGCGTAACCACTTCATCAGTTCTGCCTAGATATTTATTGAATAAGTAAACATTTCCAAAATAAGCAGTAGGCAAAATGTATTTGGAAGCAGAGAAAGTTATAAATTTCTTATCTAAGATGATTTTCTAAAGCTGTCAAGTATTCCTTTAGATACTTGAGACTTGGTGCTAGCCAGTTTGGCTCAGTGGATAGAGCATCGGTCTGCGGACCTATGGGTCCCTGGTTCAATTCTGGTCAAGGGCACGTACCCCGGTTGCAGGCTCCTCACAATCAATCGACGTGTTTCTTTTACATCGATATTTCTGTCTTCCACTCTCTCTAAAATCAATGGAAAAATATCCATGGGTGAAGATTAAATAAATAAATAAAAATAAATACTTTAGATGTGTATTTCATACAAGTCAGTGTTATTTTTACGGAATATATTCGGCATCATACTTCAACACTTTGCATAAAATAACTTCTTGGTCCTTATGTAATCTTACATGAAACTGATAGCAGCAAAGGGCTATTCTGGTAATTCTGAAAAAAAATTAATTTCTGTATAATCTAAGTGGTTAGAGACAGTTATCTGAAATTACATAAGACAAAATGCAATACTGCTCACCAGTAATGAACAAAATAAGGTTGGATAATTCACGTCTGTTTCCTAATGTGTGTAATGGGAGTTAGTGAACCTCTTCATAGTTTGCAAGATTGGGAATTGGGATTAATAAAAAAATTAGAAGTGAAAGCATTTTTACACATGAGACACCATGAAAGTGTGAATTACAATGCTATTATCAATAGCCTAATGGAGACTGACTAAACATAAAGTGGAAAACAGTTTATTTTTTCTCCAAAATAAAAAGATTAAAACGGCAAATATTCAATATCGTTGCTCTCAAACTCTTTGCACACTATAAGTTAATAAGACTAATGTTTTAAACATTGGTTTTTAACTTTTACACATGTTTCAATACCTATTTCAGTGGATGTTTTATAATGTGCATAATACATCAATACAGTAGCACATAAATAAGTGGTATTAATTTCTTAGGGCTGCTGTAACAAAGTACCACAAACTGCATAGCTTAAAACCGCAGAAATGTGTGGTCTCACAGTCTGAAGTTGGGGTGTCCTCAGGGCCATGCCCTCCCTGAAGGCAATAAGGGAGAATCTGTTCCATGTCTTTCTTCCATGCCTTTCTCTTTGTTTCCGGTGTTCCCGGCAATCCTTGGGATCCTTGGCTTCTAGACACATCACTCCAATCTCTGCCGTGTTTGTCACAAAGTCTTTTTTTAAAAAAGTCCACTTATCTTCAAGCATTTTATGGGGGAAGCCTCAAACACACAATGCGCATGCGCAAAGGATTCCGTTAGGGAAGGAGTTGAAGGGAGGCGGGGCCCTACTCTAGCCTTTCCTCCCCGCTCCGCCCCCTCGGACGGCGCACTGCGTATGACGTCACGTGAAGCTCGTACTTCCGCTTCCGATCACTCACGTTTCTCTTTCTTCCTGTCCCGCTGGAAAGATGGCGTCCCGCAAGGAAGGCACCGGCCCGGCCACCACTTCTTCCAGCTCCGCCACCGGTGCGGCCGGGAAAGGCAAGGGCAAAGGCGGCGCCGGAGATTCGGCCGTGAAGCAGGTGCAGATAGACGGCCTGGTGAGTGTGGTGCCGTCTTCCCGGGCCCCCGCGGGGAGCGCAGTTCCCAGCCGGGTGCCGCCTGGTGCGCTTGCCGGCAGCCTCCCCTCTGGGCCACGTGAGGCTGGGCCAAGGTTTTCCCTGAAAATCCTCCTCTTTCGTCTCCGCTTTTTGTTCGGGAGGCGCTACAGCTTTCTCTGCCATCTGACGGGGGAATTGAGGGCTGAGAAAGGGGACCGAGGCTCGGGGCGTGTGTGACAGGTCCCTGGGGCCTTGTTTTGAGGTGCTTGGGAGAGAGGACTTGGAGAAAAACTCTTCTGGGCGACAGGTAGGTAGGTGACCTCTGGGTGTCGAGAAGGAGCTAGGACTCGGGGGCTATGGGAAGGGGAGCGCAGGGTAACCTTTTCTCCAGTCTGCTTTTTATACTTTTATTAACATTGTTTGCGGGTAGTTTTTATCGCGCGCTAACAGGTGGCTCTACTTCTTACAGTCAACGTAAAACGTATAAATACGTTTCCCGCATACAATGTGTTTTAAAAATGTGTGAAAGTCCGATCTTGTTAACTGCCTTTCTGAAATGTTTTCAGTGGCTTTGCAGTGAGTTCAAGGCCCACCAAGATGTCCTTGCCTTTGTGTTTAGGTTTAATTCCTAGTATTTCCAAACTTCCTAGGAACTGTACATTCTAGCCACACAGAACTATTTGGTAAGCCTGATGTTGAATAGTATTTGTTCCTGACATCTTGGTAGTGACCAATTGTTTTTCTTATATTCTTGAACCTTTTCTTTCCTATCTTTGATCTTATTTATCAGTTCCTCTGTTTCTTTAATATTACCTTTCCCTTTATGTCTTAACATTTTCAAGACATTCCCATAGTAAAATGTTCAGCTCTGTCTCTTAGCATTCTGTGTTCCCTTCTCAATCCCCATATTTTTCCTCTTGAAGTCAGTGGTTAAAAATTGTCTATATTAGCAGTCTTCCACTTTTCTTTAAGTCACTGCTTTTAGAATCTGCCACCACCAATTTCCTAAGTCTTTAAAAATATAATTGATAACATTAGCAAAGAAGTGTAAAAAGAAAATCAAAATGTTATACATGCAAAATAGTGTCTATAATACATTTTCTATAAAAATAAGCCCTGACCGGTTTGGCTCAATGGATAGAGCGTTGGCCTGCAGACTGAAAGGTCCCAGGTTCAATTCCAGTCAAGGGCATTACAAAATAATAATAATAAATAAAAGCGTAATATGCCAATTAGACCGGATGTCCTTATGGAAGACCTTCTGGATGAAGGACGAAGCTGGAGCTGCGAGGGAGCCTGGGTCTGGGGTGCCAGAGGGAAGCAGGTGCCGGCAGCCAGGGGAAGGAAGGCCTACTCTTGCACGAATTTCATGCATCAGGCCTCTAGTAATTTGAAAAATCACAAAATACATATCCAGTCACCTGCTATTCAGCTTCAGAAACAGAACATTACAAATATCTTTGAAGCCCCTTTCCATTTCATCCTTTTCTCCTACCCTTCTCCCCACCCTATTGTCACTATTGTGATCTTTGATTCAGTAATTTTTTTAGTAGCGTCACTACACAAATATTCCTAAGTAGTTTGTTTAATTTTGCCTGTTTATATTAATACATATGAATGAATTAAATCATAGTATGTTTTCCTTTGATACACACACACACACACACACACACACAGATAAATATATATCTCACACCATGATTGAGATTAGTCCATTCTAGAATGAGTAATTGTAATTCATTCATTTTCATTGCTATACAGCATTTCATTGTATGGCTATAACAAATTTCTTTATCTGACTGTTAATGGACAACTACATGGCTTTTTTCCTTGTGTGAAATGGTATCTCCCAGTCATCTTTTAATTGTCCAGTTGTCCATTCTGTTAGACTTGTCAATGTGTCTTTTACTGTACCCTGCACAGATTCAGTGCTCAGCATATCTTTTTGGGATGGAGGAGTGGATCTTCATTGTAGTCAAATGGTCTCATTGTTCCTACACAAGATCAAGCTAATTCTTCCTGTTGAACTTATATAAAACCTACTTTGTTTTCCCAAACCAGAATGAATCTTATCTTTCTTATGTGCATTACACTTTTGATACTTAACAAAGTATGGTCCATGGACCAGCAAGACAAGCAGAATTGGCCTCGGGTAGCTTGTTAGAAATGTATAAATAAAGTATCTCACAATCTCAGGCCCCTTTCCTGACCTTGTGTATCAGATGATTTATAGCATATTAATGTTTGAGAAGTACTGCTCTGGTCCACATTGATCTTTTCCTTTTTATGTTGATGGCTTGTATTGTTCATCGTTTTATGATGATGGCTTGTATTGTTCATCTTGGCATGTGATCATACACTGTTAATGAATGGTTTACTGTTTATGTATTTTTCCTTTGTCACTGAGATGGTAATCTGAAGGCTAAAGTGTAAAACATTTGTGTCTTACATAGTTCTAGTGCTTAAAATCCATTACCTTTTTAAAAAAATGTTTTTGTTGATTTTTTAGAGAGAGAGGAAGGGAGAGGAAGAGATAGAAGCATCATGATGAGAGAGAATCATTGATTGGCGTCCTCCTGTATGCCTCATACTGGGGATTGAGTCTGAAACCCTGGGCATGTGCCCTGACCAGGAATTGAACCGGTGACCTCTTGGTGCATGGGACAGCATTCAACTAACTGAGCCATACTAGCGGGCAAAGTCTATTAACCTTTTAAATTTTGTTTTCCCTTTTATGTAAAAAGTTGCCTTATTGTTTAAAATTATTAGCTACCTCATCCCTCCTTTATTGGAAGTAAGGTGGAGAATGTTAATAATAAATGAAAAAGTCAGAGTTATATATACTTCTTTTAAAAAATATGTTTTTGATTTCAGAAAGAGGAAGGGAGAGGGAGAGAAAATCATTGATTGGCTGCCTCCTGCATGCCCCCTACTGGAGGATCAAGCCCACAACCAGGCATGTACCCTGACCAGGAGTCAAACTGTGATCTCCTGATTCATGGTCGATGCTTAACTGCTGAGCCAAACCGGCTACGCTCCATATATTTTTTGTCATCCAGATGTCAGCTCAGATGTCACCTCACAGAGACCTTCTGACTAATCTAAAGTGTCCTCATCAGTTCACTGACCCTTCTTATATCACTATTTACTTGTTGCTTGTCTTCTCACACTAAAATATCAACTTCCTGAGAGCAGGACTAATGCCAGATTTGTTCAGTACAACTTGTACAAGTGTCTAGAACATTGACCAACACATAGAAAGCACTCAAATATTGTGAATGAATTATTACAGTCCTGTGGTACAGAAATATTCTTGAAAATGAATCATGAGGAAACTGGTTCAGTAAATGCTAGTGTGTTGGTGAGAAAAGAGCGTGGGAGTGAGGCTAGAAGACCAGTTAGCCTTATAAACTTGCTTATAGTTCTTTGTCTTTTTAGGTGTCATCAGTAAGAAAAATCACTAATGTTACTTAAGCATCTATAGTTTACAAGACCCTGTGTAGGCAAGTTTGATTAGGTTATATCTGATCCTGTGATAGCTTTGAGAGTAGATGTTATCTCTGCCCTACTTATCTGATGGTTTTAAGCTCTAATGAGAAAATGTTGATCAAAGTGCTTTGTGAACTGAAATGAATAATTAAGATTTATAAAGGGCTTATATAAGGCTGTGATATCTATCACTATTTTGTGTGTGTGAAACATTATGAAGTTACAGAGTCTAGATAACAGCTTGTTAACCGTTAGGAAATGGAAGCTCTTGTTCAAATTCTGGTCTTACATAGAAATGGTTTGGCCTTTTAACATTTTAACTAAAATAAAAATTGTATGGCTCTTGGCTCCTTTTATTTTCTGACTTTAGTGGAGAATAAGTTACTTTACATGTGTGAATATAGTTCAGTGGGATAACTTGAAACTCTTGGAAGCATCAATTTTTACATTTTAGCCATTTTAAGTTTGAATCTTTCTGAACTGTATTACATAACTTTCTGCCCCTATAGCCAGAAAATATTGAACACAGCTTAGCCACGTTTTGATGCCTAGTATTATCATTAAGAGCATAGTTTATTGACCCATGCTGGACAAGGTCCTCAAGAATGTATGAGAAAACTAGTATAATCTTTGTAATAATCTGTCATATTCTATCTAGGAGAAGATTTATAGCTAAAAGAAATCAATTTAGTAAATAATCTAAAGTTGGAAAAAGGCAACCTTTAGTCTCTGGGTCATACAGATTAACATATTGGGAAAACAAGGTATATTAAGGGAAGTTAGGGAAGAAGTATTAGTAGGTATTCCTAATTAAGGTAGTTTCCTAACTAAGTCCATCTGACTTTTCCATCGCAGTATGCTTCCAAGATTTGGATAAATTCTGCAGATATTCTGGTCATTGTTCCTTTTCCTTAAGGTCAGAGAGCTTACTGAAATTGAAATCTATTGCCTTTAAAAATATTTTTTTCTGACAGTCCTCCTGTGTTCATGGCATGCACATAGTAGTGAATATATCTGATTGCATTTTCTCAAATGGCAAATGAGAACAGGACAGCATTTTACTGAAAACCTCAATATCATCTGTCTTGGAGGATTCAGTTTCCTACGGCGTGTATGATACTGTCCA